ATGTAAAATTTTGTGTAATTAAATTTTAATTCAAATGTATCAAGTTGGTGTATCATGCTTAATGAGATGACCAATATCTGTATATAAATTATATTCTTGTAAGTAAAATTGATTATTAGATTAAGTAATTATTTTTCCAATTGTAATTTTAGTTTGTGAAGATATTAATGACTAATTGTTTTCTGGAATAGTATATTGAGATTTGCAAGTAGGTTAAGTGTATTGTAAAAGAAATTAATTGTAGCAATTTGGGTTTGTGGTCACTATTCTAAAATTGGTTTGTTGTTAATAGTTGAATAAAATGCTTTGTACCAAGATGGTTTAGATTCTTAGAAGGTTTTGTTAGTTCAAAGATATATTATTCCATGGGAGTAAATATTGGTTATTAGCTGTTAGAAGTTGTTCAAGAAAAAGAATTTGATTATTTTTAAGGCTTTTAAAACTTGAAGTTTTTTGAATTTTTAATGAAAGAAAGTTATATATATAATTAAGTTGTGTTGTGAAATAAGTTAGATATTGTTATTAATTTCAAGATTGTTAATATTGATATTATTTTTAAGAAGAAAATATAGTTGAGATATATATGTAAATTTAAAGAGTTTTTTCTGATAAAGATGTATACTATTATATGTTATTGAATAGCTCCAAGTATAGTAAAGCTATTCTTTAATTCTTAATTCAAAAATTTTTTGCAAAAAAGATGCTGAATTAATTGATTTTTCAATTATACTGCTACTTGTATATACAGTCTAACCTCTCTATAGTCACACCTTTAAAATATAAAAAAAAGTAATTATATAGAGAGGTAACTATTATAGAAAATTTTCTATATAGTCACATTATATTAAATAATATAATCAGTAACTATATAAAAATTATAATTAATTAACTAAAAATATTTTTGAATATCTTTTTCAATGAATTTGATAAGAAATTTGATTGGCTAGTTTAATAAAAACTAAATTTCTTCTACCAGCTAAGCCAATAAATTTTTACAATAGTTTATTCTGCACAATGTGACTCTAGAATTGAATAAATACTAAAAATAGTCTGGTTATGCTATACAAATTAGCTAATACTATGGATAAATATATAATGTTTAATTAGGTAGCCAATACTGTGAGAACGAGTACTGATTAGATAGCCAATACCATGGGAGTGAACATTAAAACCTAATTGATAGCCAATACTATGGAAGCAAGTATATAAAATTCAAATAAGTATAATTTAATAAGCTTGCCTAATTTGAATCGTATGTAATTGCGATAGCTCAATTGTTAGAATTGAAAATGAAAACAGGACTAGTATATTTCTTATCGAATACAAGAGACAAAAGTCCTTCTGTTAATATAGAATCATGCCAGATTGTAGTAATTTAAAAACTTCAAAGTTAGTTGTTTTATGCAGTATTGGTGACTATTGGCATCACGATTTCAACTAATGATAGTAATATCCAGTTACATCTCAGTTTATTAATTGAATGCAATGCTTTTCTATTATACAGTAAAACCAATCACACATGCTAAAAGAAATCTAAAGATTAATAAAAATTTTTTTTATAAGAGCTGCAAAATGAAAACCTGTAATTGTGTAGAATTAATTTTACAGATCAAATCTCTAAAAAATTTATATTGTGCTTAATTTAAATTTATCAGAAGTTGAATCTAAAAGTAAAGCCGGAAAAAGCCAAAATTACAGGTTTTCGCTTTGTAGCACTCATATTGTCTTATGTATACTCCTAAAAGATATCAAAATTAGCACTTTTATTAGAATAAAATTTTAACAAATTTAAAAATATCCAGTATCTGATATCTAAAAATATATATACGTACACGATATTGAATGCCATTCCATATATCCTGCTATTGTGATGAAGCAGCTATAGCCAAATATAGCTTGATAGCTTAATTCAGATTTTTAGCATACAAGACGCAATATAATAAATAAACTTAACACATGTAAAGTATCCAGATTACAAATTTACAAAGATATGGATACTTCATCATGCGCTTGCATAAAGATTGTCAAAACTTCTAATTACGATTTTATAATATAAAAAGTTAATGATGCATGCACTATAAACATTTTTTCTATCAGTATAAAAAGAAAAAAAAAATTAAAAAGTTCATTAAACGCGCAAAAAAAAAAACTTATCATTTTATTCTATAGAATTATGCCTTCTCAATCTGTGCCTAAAAAAATACATAGTCATATTAGTAACACACAAAAAAAAGAAATATGCGAATTTGCAAAGAATAACTTATCTTATAAACACCAGAAAATAGCAAAAGAGTTCATAAATTATTATCTAAATTTACAAATTAATCACTTAACTGTATCAAAAATATTAAAAAAAGCTGATGAATATAATCAACTCCAAGACACCATACAAGCTGAAAGAACTTTTTGTCATCGTTCAGTAAAGCATCCGAAATTAGAACTAGCTATGAATATGTGGATTGAACAAGTTACAACCCACAGAATAATTATTTCAGACTCTATAATAAAGGAAAAAGGTCATCAGTTTGCAAAGGAGTTTAATATATCCGAAATATCTCTTATATTTTCAAGTGGATGGATTACCAAATTTAAGAGGCATGATAGACTAAGAAAATTATATTGCATGGTGAAGCGGCAAGTGCACCCTTAGAAAGCCTGTTTATAGAATGTAACAAATTGCAAGAACTTCTTTCATATTATAATCCAGAAGATATATATAATGCTGATGAAACGGGCCTCTTTTACAGATTACTTCCAAATTAAACACTATTTAGAAAGCCAATAGCTAGAAAAAAAAAAGTAAATAAAATTAATTTTTTTCAAGATTTTTTTTTGATTTTTTTTTTTTTTTAGAACAAATCAAGAGTAACTATACTACTTTGTGCCAACGCAACTGGTTTCTACAAGCTCCGCCCAATAGTTATTGGCTCTTCTAAAAAACTATGATCATTTAATAAAATAAATTTATCACAATTACCAGTTGACTATCGTAATAACAAAAAAGCGTGGATAAGAGGTAATATTTGAGAAATGTAGCTAAAATTCATTGATAAAGGTTTTCAAATTCAAAACAGAAAGGTCTTGCTTTTCGTTGATAATGCACCTTCTCACATGATTCCAGGAGAAAATAATAAAAACAAAGTCCAAGAAGATACTGTGGAATCTGAGAAAAATGTTGAACTCAATGAATCTGGAACACATAATAAACTTGATGAACTCAATGAACCTGATAATTCTGATGAACCTGAATTTGAAACAATTCAAGAAAGGCTACAAAAAAGGCCACAAAGAAGGCTACAAGGAAGGCTATGAGGAAGGCAACAAGTAAGACCACAGAGAAGGCCACGAGAAAGGGCATGTAGAAGGGCACATAGAAGGCAACGTAGAAGGCCACGAGGAGCATGAGAAAGAAGGCAAGGAAAAGCGCAAGGAAAAGTGCAAAAAAAATCTAAACAAGCTTTAGACTATTTCTTTCTTACAAATATCACTATTCATTTCCTTCTACCCAATATGACTGCCTATCTTCAACCCATAGACGCGGAATCATAAAGTGCTTCAAATCGAAATATAAGAATCTTTACTGCTATTATTTGATTTCTCAATTTGAAAAAAATAAGAAACAAGGGTAAAATTAATTTTTTTTTTTTTTTTGTGATTTATTTACCATTTTTATTAATCATTTTAAAAAAAATTCAAAAAACTTACACTGTAAGAAGCTATTAATTTCGTTTTAGATACTTGGGAAGACGTTAGTAATACTACTATAAGAAATTGCTAGAAGGCCACTCGAATTATGGCAGAAATAAATGAATCAGAAGAAGATAGGCTAGAAGAAAGTTTGCTAGAAGAAAGTAGATTAGAAGAAAGCGAGATAAGAGAAAGTGGACCAGAAAATGAACTTCAAGATGAGGCTTCTGAAGAAGAAGATGTTGTTATACTAATTAATGATTTGCCAATTGAAAATATACCAGAAGCCCAAGAATTAATAAATAATATTGAGGAATATGCTAATCTAATTAACCAGCCAGTTGAAACTGAGGATATATTAACGGATGAAGGTATCGTCAAAATGGTGAATTACGAATTCTGTGATGATGATAAAACTGATGATAAAGAAAAAGAATTACCACCACCACCCCAATAACTAATACCGAAGCTGTTGATACATTAGAAAAAGTAATAAAATATCAGGAAAGCCTCAATGTTGGAAAGGGTTTTAATGAAAGTGGATTAATGATATTACGAAAAAAGCTTAAAGAATAGCATTACGAAAAAAAACAAAATAAGAAGCAAGCTTCAATCTTATCTTTTTTCAATATTATTGATTAAAGTAGTATCATATTGGTACTATAACTATGTAGATATATTCATAGTGAGCAGTTTCTTTAGAGAATTTTGAAGTTTCAGTTATATCTGATTTTTTAGTTAAATTTGAACTTACAAAATTAGTTAAACATCATGGTTGTATTCAAATTTTTCTCATTTATAAATCATAGCAGTTAGAATTTTAGTTGCTAACAATAAAAAAGAGTTATGCATTTTAAAATTAATAATATAATAATCTTGTTATTTGCAGCTTAGAGTATAGAAAAGTTATAACAGCTTCTGAAATATACATAAGTATCCCTATTAAGTTTTTAAAATTTGAATCGATGTATTAAATTCGGTAAAGAAAGTTAAATAAGCAATCCAATTTCTTATATATACGTATATATATATATAATTATTACATAAGAGACTTACCCCAAATAGTGATCTTGTTATATATGATATAAAAGAATACTAGCCCTGCCAAAGAGAAACGAATAATGGCTATTTATTTAAGACCTGTGATTGCTAGACAAGACTCCAGATTCTAATTCTTGGACAAAATCGTTTCATATCTTGATCGGGTTTGATCTTTAAGTTCTTATTTTATATTGACTCTCTTTTGATCTCTTATTAGTAGGACCAAAGTAAAAAAAAGTACTACTCTTTTAGCATACAAACCCTAAATTAACAACTTTTGTGATACTAAAAACTCAGAACAAGATCAAGAGAAAGTTCTAGCAAAATGGTTTGATTACCAGAAGTTACTGAAAGCAAATCAATAGTGCCATGGAACTTTTATATAATTTCACCAGATGCAAAAATTCCAAAGCACTTTACAATAAGTTATGCTTTGACAAACTGATCAAAGGTAGGGTCTATTCCTAGTATGTTTAATTTTGGAAGTCTATAATTTCTAACATTCTGTCATAAAAGATCTTGCCTAAAGAATGTCAAAAGTTTAGTCGAATAAGCATGTATTTCAATCTAAAAATTAGGTACATACGTACATACGTACATATGTAATGGTAAGTATGCTTATCATATGGGCTAGGTGCTGAGAAAAGGGACAAAATCGACAAAAAAAAAGATCTTTGGAAAATCAATTTTTATGCTGTAAATCTTATAATAAATCATAAGAAAATACAAATTTTAAAGAGCTATACCACAAAATTTTATTAATACAACTACTTTTATGTCTTAAGTGAAAAATGATTCTAATCTTATTCTAAAATGATTTATATAAAAAAATATCATTTGAAAAAATTGTCAATTTCATCTCTTTTCTCAGCACCTAGCCCATATGACTGTGCATGGCTTGTTCTGATTGGTTGTGCATTATTATTCAATTTGAAATGTGACTTTATGGGGAGCGATTATATAAGGTTTATATAAAACCGTTATTAAAAAATTGTGATAGTGACTATAGTACAATTGTGACTATATAAAAATAAAATTAATATTAAAAAAAATCGGTAAACAAATAAATATGCTTATATTGGTTTTGTGACTATATGAGAGGTAACTATAGGGAGGTTAGACTGTAATAGAAGTTTATTAAGTGTAAAAAGTTAAGAGATAATAAATTAGTTGATATTTCTATTCAACTTCCTAAAACCTATTATACTAGTTTTTTTTATAAGTATATAGTCATTCTCTCCTATAATCACACAGTTAGGCACACCTTAATATGGTGATTATAAAAAGGTGTGACTTTATAAAAGTACGCACAAATTATAAATAATATAAAAAAAGTGATTTAATAGAGGTATATTTGTAGTTAGTTTCTATATAGAAAAGTTATGATTTTAATAATTAAATCAACTTTTATATAATAAGTAAAGTTGTTTGGAAGAATAAAATACACTTACTGTTAAATTTTTATGCAAATCGAATAATTTTTTATTAGTATTGTTTTTTATTTTACATATCTATGAATATAGCTAAAAATTGTAATTTTTTAGCTATTATATATTTGTAGGTATGCTAAATGAGAAACAATACTAATAAAAAATTTTATGATTTGTAAAAAAATTTAACAGTAGGTGTGTTTTATTCTTCCAAACATCTTTACTTATTGCATAAAAGTTAATTTAACTATTAAAATCATAACTTTCTATATAGAAAATATCTATGATCACATATAAATGTAATTAGGGTTCCTAGGTTCAGTTCAGTTCAAATTTAGGTTCAATGAACCTGAACTGAATCTGAACCTGAACCACAAAT